TCTGTGTTTTTTGCCCTCTGCATAGATCAGCAGAGCTCTAACCAACAGAACTTTCCCACCTGACCATTTCCAGTTAGAGCTACTCAAAGAAGCAGAGAAAGAGAATGCATTATTCATCATATATTAATATTACACATTAGTGGGAGGTACTGCAGAGCTCTGCTTCAATAATAGTGGCTGAGGAAGTTCCTGGGATCAAAGGATGTTAAATTAAACAGAATAATGTAGCTATATAATTTTAAAGCTCCTGTTAATAGATGAAATATATATACACACACAACTATAGTAAGTAGAAGTAGCTCTGTCTCTACCAGTATTGCTATAAGTAGGAGAATCAAGAAGAATCAAGGGCTGGCAGTTATCCTGTGTTCACACACACTCTGCTGTGAGCCATGTGAAGTATTTTAGGAGCAGTCTGTCAGGAATGTTTTGAGAGCTTTCAAGTATATCTCATTTGCCTATGGTATTAGAGACTCCTGTAAAACTCAGCGGGTGCTAATGTGCTGTGACATAGTGTTGGATGATTTTTAAACACTTTTTACTATCTGTGTGGTGCCTTAGTAGACAGACAGAGCACAGCACCTCTGTGACATGGAAATGGAAGCTTTTACCAATGCAACCTTTGGGCATCCCCAGTGTACATCTCCTTAAAAGCTGTGAGCTTCAGGTGCTAAATCCTGTGGGTATATGGACTTGTTATTTTTGTACACTTAATGTTTGGAAACTTGATCATACTGTATCAAGACAAGCGTAGCAGCAGGATTGGGGCAGTGCTCATCCCCCTGCACTGGGCACTGGGGAGGTCCCAGCTCAGTGCTGTGCTCAGCTTTGGGCCCTCACTGCCCAAAGGCCATTGAGGCACTGGAGCGAGTCCAGCCAAGGGCAACGAGGGCAGCAAAGGGCTGGAAAACCTGTGGGATGAGGAAGGGCTGAGGGAGTTGGGTTTGTTCAGCCTGGAGAAGAGGCTCAGGGGTGACCTCCTGGCTCTCTGCAACTCCCTGCCAGGGTTGGAGAGAGGTGGGGGCTGTGTGTCCTGCCATGGCTGCAGGGAGAGGACTAGAGGGAATGGGCTTGAGCTGAGCCAGGGCAGAGTCAGATTGGATGTGAGGAGAAATGTTTTCCCTGTTGTGGTGTTGAGGCACTGGGATATTGCCCAGGGAGGTGGTGGAGTCACCATCCCTGGAGGTGTTGAAGAGGCATCTGGATGTGGCACTGGAGGATCTGGTTTGGGGTTTAGGGGTTCCAGCAGTGACAGGTTAATGGTTGGACTCAATGATCTCAGTAGTCTCCTTCAACCTTTATGATTCTATGGTCATTTATTTTGACTGCACCTACAGATGCATTCGGAAGCACAGACTGAATGCAGAAAGCTCTGCCAGTGCAGCCAGGCTGCTGCTCAAAATCAGATGCATGAAGGAAGATTCTCATTTGATGCAATTGTGCATGCAAATGTGTTAACTGTATTCACAGTGGTTGCTTCCATGTCACAGCCTTGACCTTTTTGCTGCACAGCAACATGAAATGATAACAGCTAGTATGGATTAATCAATCAGTTCTCTCCCCAGGGAACAGTGCTGCTTCCAGTCACAAGCACACTTGGATGAAAAATATATTTATCTTTCTTCTGGAAGATCAAACCAATAAAAGAACCAATTTCCTTTGTAGGAGGAAGGAGTTGTAAACAATAGGAATGCTCTTTTTCCAAAGTGAGGGTCTTTCTGTACTCAGTGGAGGCAGATTAGTGATCTCTCACTGCCTTTAAGAAAGTATAGAAGTGTTGAAGAGATATTGTAGCATCTGGGGTCAGACACAGCCTCACAGTGTGATGTGGTGGCATCAGTCATCAGCAACCTATCGTAAGGGCATGAGTGCCCAGAGGGGAAGGCCGGGGAGAGTCTGTCTCCAGGTGCTAAGGTAGACCTGCTAAATTCATACCTATGGTACTTTGAGAGAGCTCTCCACTGAAGATCAAGGCCGAGAAGTCATTGAACACCTTGGACTTTATCATGTCTTTTCTCACCATGTTGCCTGCCTTTTCCAATGGTGTGCTCCTGATTTCTCTTTTGATGCTAATACATCCATGGAAGCTTTTCTTGCTGCCCTTTTCAGCCCTTGATAGACTGAATTCCAGGTGGGCTTTGGCTTTCCTAACCCCATCCCTGCATGCTCATGTAATGCCTCTATCTTCCTCCCTGGTGACTTCCCCCTGGTGGCACTTCTTGTAGATTTTCTTTTTATGTTTGAGTTACATCTGGAACTCCCTGTTCATCCACACAGGCCTCATCTTGCCTTTGCCCAATTTCCTGCTAGTTGGGATGAACTGTTCCTCAGTTTGGAGGAGATGAACCTTGAATATCAACCCACTCTCCTGGATCTCACTGCTTCCCAGGACTGTATCCCATGGGATTCTTCCAAGCAGATGACTGATTAGGCCAAAGTCTCCTTCTCTCAAGTCCAGGGTTGGGATCCTTCTGTTTTCCCTGCTCTCCTGATTCTGAACCCCACAATCTCAGTACTGGGGGCAAGGCTGTTCCTGACCTTCACATCCCTGACCCATCTTTCTGTGTTTGTAAGTATGAGGTCCAGCAGAGCTCCTCTCCTTGTCAACTCCTTGTTCTGGAAAAGAAACTACAATCCTGTTAGACCTCCCAACCAGATGTGTCCATAGAAGTCATGGCTAAAGGCTAATGCTTTCCCAGGACTGTGGAAGAATGTTGACCTAGTTTAAGACATGACATGCTGTTCATGCAGTATTTGCTTCTCATCTAGAGAAAAAGAGTTACTGAAGCATTTTTTTCTTACACTTTTGTAATATGAATAAGTATTTCTGGATGCAGGAAGCTAACCTTTCCCTAACCCTTGGGAGTTGGTGTCCAAACTTCCTTGGGCTTGCCAGAGTAATCAGAAAGGCAAACAAGCTATGGAGAGCCATGGAGGAGCTTTACTCATTGATCTGTCTGCATTGCTCTGCATTTTAGCTAATTATGTGTGTTGGGTCAGCAGATTTTATAGAGTTCACACTTCATTATCCAACAGGCATAGGATACTCAGAAGTAATCTGAAGTAGTGCACATCTTTCTGCAGTTTCTGGGTTATTCTTGGATGGATTTTAAAGGTTTAACATGCGGTGAAAGTTAATCAGCACAAATTTCTGCTAACAGCTTAAATAGTCCTTTGCTTGTAAGTTGGCATGGAAAGAGGGGATGGCAGGTAGTGGGTTTCCATCCTTTCTCTTGGACATGATCTGACTGATATGGAAGTGTTTAAGAAGTCCCTGGAAGTGTTGAAGAGGTGTCTGGATCTGACACTGGAGGATCTGGTTTAGGGTTTAGGGGTTCCAGCAGTGACAGGTTAATGGTTGGACTGGATGATCTTAGAGGTCTCCTCTAACCCTGATGATTCCATGATTCTGTGCTTCTATGATTCTGTATACTGGGGAGCACTTGAGTGGTTTTGAAGGCATAGATCAGGACTAGATAAGTGATGGAAATTCCCACACTTTGCTTTGGGATAGACACAGGATCACAGAGGACTCAAGTTGTTAAGTCCTCCCAAGGCAAATACAGTCTAGCCCTGGAACTGACTGAGGTTTGCACCCTCAAGCCTTCAAAGTGGCTGTTTGCCAAGGTCAGAAACACATATCTTCCATCTGGCCAAGGATATTTCATTGTGTTCTTCCTTTACATCCATTTGTGGGAACTGTTACAAGCAAAATATGACATATGAACAGTGAATGCATCTTTTGCAATAAGCATAAATGGAAAATAAGGCAAAAGCAAACAGTGCAAAATTCTCTCTATGCCTTCATTTCTTCATTATTCTTAGGTTTGCTTTTGGGGTTTGGAGTGTGTGTAGTAAGTGGAATGCTCAAAGTGTTACCTATTTTGTTGTGTTTTCATGATGGGCATTGTGAAAATCCTTTTTTTAAAAAGAGCCAAAACAAAAATCATAGAATTTAAGGGTTGGAATCGACCTTAGAGATCATCTAGTTCCAACCCCCTGCCCTGGGCAAGGACACCTCCTCTCCTCACAGGTTGCTCAAGGCTCATCCAACCTGGCTGTGAACACTGCCAGGGTTGGGGCAGCCACAGCCTCCCCGGGCAACCTGGGACAGTGTCTCACCACACCCACAGCGAAAACTTATGCTTAAAATCTAAATTGTCTCACATCTAACCTAGACCTCCCCTCCTTCAGTTTGAACTCATTACCTCTTGTCCTATCACTGTATTTCCTAGCACAGAGTCCCTCTCCAACTCCCTTGTAGGCCCTTCAGATACTGAAAAGTTGCTCTGAGGTCTCCACACAACCTTCTCTTCTCCAGGCTGAACAGCCCCAACTCCCTCAGCCTGTCCTCATAGGGGAGATGCTCCAGTGCTCTTAGCAACTTCATGACCTCCTCTGGACTTGCTCCAACAGTTCCATGTCCTTCTTATGTTGAGGACACCAGAACTGTGTGCAGTATTCCAGGTGGGTCTCAGGAGAGCAGAGTAGAGGGGAAGAATCACCTCTTTTGACCTGCTGCCCACACTCCTTTGGATGCAGCCCAGGATTCCATTGGCTTTCTGGGCTGCTAGTGCACACTGCAGCTCATGGTGAACTTCTCATCCAGGAAGGATGAGAACATCAAAGGAATTCTTGGTGCTAGGTAAGAAAATATATTGGGAAATAGAGTGACTGGACCATTCTCCCAGAGCAGTACTATTTGACATCAAGCAAGTAAGTGGTTAAATGCCAGGGATGATGTCTTCTTAATAGAGGTGATCAGTAAAGAGAAAAATTAATGATAGTTGCATAACCTAGTGGTGGAGTGAGGAAGGAAAATGTGACCCTGAGCCATTCTGGAAGGAAAGCCAACACAGGGGTGTGTGAGCCACTTACCCAAGTGACTGCATTGGCTTTGGCTCTGCAGAGCTGTAAGCATCTGGCGTGGGGATGTGGGTCATGGTGCCTTCCGTCTGCCTCCAAACCAATTACTTTTCTGGCTGTTTTTCTCTTTACAGGAACCCAGACCTTTGTATAACAAGAGGTGCCAGTATTATTCGAGTGGAATCGGATTCCTATACGATGCCTACCAGACAGAGGTAAACAAACCTCATCATGTTCATTTCTGCTGTGCTTTGAGAGGCTAGGGAAGAGGGAGGTAGATGCTTGGGAGCATGTCTATGCATGTAGGGTAGAGAGAAACTCCACTGTTCTTTCTCCTGCCTGTCCAAGCCTCTGATGATTGCAAATCATTACAATCAGTGAGGTTTTCAGTCATCATCAGTGTTTCTGTCCAGTACATTACTCTGGGTTTGGAATGATTCCTAGTCCATCTATGCTGTATAATAGCTGTCTGGAATGTGTTTGTCACATTGGCCTTTTTCTCTGAGGAGGTTTTTGTAGACTCCAAGTGGAGTAGGAAATAGCAAAATTAATCCAGTTGTATTGTCCAGAAGACTTCAAGTCTTCTCTGTATTTATCCAGCACAGGCCAAGAACATCAGTGGTTCGAATGCAGCGTTTTTATTATCTCAGTGACATTAACACGGTGGGAAAAGTGCCCATATCCAAATGCCTACCCTTCTGAGGAGTCCAGATTTAGTTCCTTTGCCTCTTTTGTTAATGTGGTCAACTGGTGGGAGTTTTCTATAAGAAAAGCAGAGCAGGATTGAGAACAGCTAAACAGTAGTATAGCTTACAAGAAGCCAGATGTCCTTCATCACCATTCCTCCCATGGCTAAGAAGAGCTGTATGGGGAATGTTACTGCTAATAATTCTCCAAAGCTTAGCAAAGTATATTATTAGGTTAAGCAGCTAATGCTCCTTAAATCTTGCTGTTAGGGCACCCTGTTGTTAATTCCAGAAAATATATGACAGAAATAATAGTTCATTGATTTCCTGGACTAAAGACCTATCCAGAAAAACTTATGAAGTGTGGCAACACCTTTTCATAGGGTCATAGAACCATCAAGGTCAGAGGAGACCTCTAAGATCATCAAGTCCAACCATTAATCTGTCACTGCTGGAACCCCTAAACCCTAAACCAGATCCTCCAGTGCCACATCCAGAAGCCTCTTCAACACTTCCATTTCTTCATATTGCATTCATAATCAAAGCACAGTTTCATATTATATCATATTCTCACTCATCATAAAACCGTGCGGCTTCATCAATTCACATCTGCAAGAATCACTGCACTTGGTTTATTTTCTTGCTAAAAGAAACATGATAACTATTGCATTTTCTGGACCAGAAAAACACAATTCAATTCATAGAATCATAGAATCATCAAGGTTGGAGGAGAACTCTTAACACCATCGAGTCCAGTCGTTAGCTGCCACTCTGCTGTCTGTTTCCTAAAACTTTCCTGTAAGTTTTACTCCATCCTCTCCTGCAGTGTGCACACAGGCTCAGACACAGACACTGCCTGAGAAATGCTCCTGATTCCTGTAATAAGCATGTGGTTGGTGTCACACTGACCACAGCTCCTTGCAGGTGACCCCAGCTTCAGGCTTCTGGCCAGGCAGTTTTCCACAGCTCTGCGGATTCTGGGAATGTCTAAAGCTGGGCCACCCAGAACTCCTTCCTCTATGCTGCAAAAACATAACACACATCTTTTAAAAGTGTAGGTAGTTTGTAATAACATTCCTGTCTGGCTGTCCATTGATCTAGAGTCAGCATATGCTAGTTCAGAGTTCAGGATCCATGGCATTCATCCTTGGCTCTTGCTTTTCCAAGGTTAGCCAGCTAGTGAGCAGGGGACATGCTCTGCATTCCAGGCAAACACTTAACTAGGAAGGCAGATCCTTTACTGAGTGCAAGTTTCCTTTTGGTTGCCTATGAGTGGTCTCCAGCTCATTTGGTTTGTCTGTTACTGTTCTCTTTGATCAAAGCAGAATGAATTTGATTTTCTTGCAAATACCATGAGATGACAACATCTCTTCAATTGATGCTGAGCATAGGCAATCACAAACATCCAGGGCATGAGAAAGCTAAGTGTCTGCTCACTGAAATGGCATAATAGGTCTTGACATGCAGAATACCCACAAATGGCCTGTTTCCACCACCCTTGCTCACACCACACAGTAATTTGTTTACTTGGGTTTATTCAAGGTTCTCCCAAAAAAGAGTGTCTTGTTCTTTGCATGTTTTAAAAATGCAGTGATAAAAATAGACAACTACTACGGTAACTTCCTTGGCCCATGTGTTTTGTAGTCTAGAACCAGCTAAAAATGTGTCCAAGACCTTGCTGATCTCTTTTGCACTTCTTGCCTTCTATATTAAAAGGGGCAGATTACTATTGCCTAGAGAGGGCAAAACTGCTTTTATTTCCTAACAAAGCCAGGTTGGATGAAGCCTTGATGATAAAAATAGACAACTACTACGGTAACTTCCTTGGCCCATGTGTTTTGTAGTCTAGAACCAGCTAAAAATGTGTCCAAGACCTTGCTGATCTCTTTTGCACTTCTTGCCTTCTATATTAAAAGGGGCAGATTACTATTGCCTAGAGAGGGCAAAACTGCTTTTATTTCCTAACAAAGCCAGGTTGGATGAAGCCTTGAGCAACCTAACCTGGTCTGAAAATTCTATGATGCTAATGATGTATTTCTAAGCATTCTTCTTCTACTTTTTAATTATGAGGAATTTTCCCTTCAACAATACATTTTATTTACATTTTGAGAACAAAATTCTTCTCATTGGTTACAGGACATTTTTTCTGTCAAAATAAAAGCTGTAGAAAGAATGTATTTTCTGACCTGATAGCTTTCAAAACCTGACAGCTCTCCAGGATTTCATAGAATCATAGAATTTTAGGGGCTGGAATGGACCTTAGAGATCATCTAGTCCCAGCCCCCTGCCCTGGGCAGGGACACCTCCCACCACACCAGGTTGCTCAAGGCTTTATCCAACCTGGCTGTGAACACTGCCAGGGTTGGGGCAGCCACAGCCTCCCTTGGCAACCTGGGCCAGTGTCTCACCACCCTCACAGGGAAAAGTTCTTCCTAAGATCTAACCTAAATTTCCCCTCCTTCAATTTGAATCCATTTCCCCTTGTCCTGTCCCTGCAGCTCCTAACACAGAGTCCCTCTGCAGCTTCCCTGGAGCCCCTTCAGCTCCTGGAAGGTGCTCTGAGGTCTCCACACAACCTTCTCTTCTCCAAAGTCAATAAGCAAAAAATCTCAGGGGGAAAAAAATCCTTGCATGCAAAGTATTTCCATTGGTCTGTAGTGTCAAATAGAAGTGATTAATACCTACCACATTTCAGGAGTAATTAAAATGGTTTCTTGCCTGGATGGAGAGTGGCACATGTGCCTGCCTTTATTGCTCTAACCTCTGTCCATCCCTGCAGTTCCTCCTCACACAAACAAACCTTTTCAGTGTTTTGTTCCTGCAGGAAATGATACTTACTTGCTGGAGTGGTTGGAGCTCCTCTAAACAGTTCTGTTTGTGGGTTTGGAGATTGTTCTTATTGTTGTTCCTAATTATTTTCTCCTTCAGGAGGGTTTCACTGAAAGGAGAGCACTCCATTTATTGCTCAGATAAACTTCTTTGCCCATTTCCCCCACTATAATGGACTGTATTCTTATCCACTCCAGTCACTTGTTGTAGTGTATCTTTCAAGACCCATGGTCTCTAGACCACAGACAGAGAGATCTGAATCTCCAGGCTACAGACTCTGGGTCTCAGCTGAAAAGCACCAGGCAAAGTCTGGCAGCCCTGGCTGCTGGTGCTCCATGGTACAAAGGCCTTCTGCCTCAGAGAGCTGACGTCCTGCTTGAAACTCCTAGGAGTTTAGAGATGTCCTTCTGGCCTGCAGTCATGGATTTTGGAATCTCAGGCTCTTTCTGCACAACCAGTAGTAAAACTTGACTCTGCAGTAGATACTTTTTTTTTTTTTTTGTGGTCAGTATGATGAGTCATACAACACTGAGACACTGAGAATAAAAGTCTCTTCTTTTTTTGGCAGGTGACATGTCATACCTTAAACAGCAAGTGCCAGCTGAAAATAAAGAGTAACACGTGTTATTGCTGTGATCTGTACAACTGTGAGAAGTAAGTACCTGTGTGCATTGATGGCCTCTGAGGAGTCCTTGGTTGGTTATCCTTACTCATAAATGATAGGACCTGGAGGAGCAACACAAGGGGGTTGGTTGTATGCTGAGAAATCCAGTTCCTCTGCAACTGAAGTCTTGATGCCAGGAGAAGAGGTTAGGGGTTGTTTATTAGTGTTGGTATGATTTCAGTTTCTTTTTGTTTGAATATGTTCAGAAGCTCTTTGCTGAGTGATCCAAATGGATCACTGGAAGTGTTGAAGAGGCATCTGGATCTGACAGTGGAGGATCTGGTTTAGGGTTTAGGGGTTCCAGCAGTGACAGGTTAATGGTTGGACTTGATGATCTCAGAGGTCTCCTCCAACCTTGATGATTCTATGGTTCTATGATTCTAAGTACTTTGCCAAAGAGGAAAGCAAGCAGGAGGGATTGAGATCCTCTGGGTGCTCTGTATTATGTGCAAAACCATTCCCTGTGCAGTGACCTTGTCTGCATTCCCTTTCAGTTCAGAGCAGTCCTCCAGCTACTATGAATTCCTCGGTGTGAGCAGCTGCCAGGATGTAGTTCACCTGTACAGACTGCTGTGGTCCTCCACAGTCCTCAACATCATCGGCCTCTTCCTGGGGATTATTACAGCAGCCATTCTTGGGGCATTTAAAGACATGGTAAGGCTCAGTCTTTTGCCTTATGTGAGGACTTCTGTGCTTCTTGACATGATTCAATAGGTTAAAAACAAAGAGGCCTAAGTGTACAAAGGAGACGCTTTAAACATGTTTCCTGTGTGTTCTGGGAATGTGGAGTTACACCTTTAGCTTAAGCTCACTGCTAAGTAGGTCAAGTCTGGTCAAATGCATGAATGGAGGGAAAAAACAGAGGCAGAGGACGTTAGTTTGTAGCTGACATGTAAAACTCAGGCCCTAGGTGTGAGTGTTTAACCATATGTAGTTCTTTTCCCCAAGGTTGGGGATGGACTCTGAAGTACCAGTCAAGTTTTTATTTACACAGTTGTATTCAGGTCACTTTGACATCCTCATTTGTTTCACTAAGCAATGCCACCTAACTGGTCCCTGTGCCACACCATCACGTTGTGCTGCTCTGCACCACTTCATTCAGAAGTGGCTGGAGGGATTCTCCAACACAGTGCCTCATCTGCCTAGATTTTCTGACACCTTAAAAGGATGAAGTTGCTGTTCTTGGAATTATCACTGTTAGTGGCTGTGTTTGCTAAAACAGTGCCTAAAGACAAGCAAGTGGCTCATGATTTCCTAGGCTTTCAGAAGAGTAGATGTTCCCAGGCAAAGAGCTTCCAAACTAAATGGGCAGAGGCAAGAGGATGGAGGTGAAATGCAGGAGTGAAAGGGAGGTGTGATAGCAGCACAGGTCATCTTAGATCCGTGGTGTTTGTGGTGACTATTCCAGAGGGGAAAAGTAAACAGAAAGATGGGCAAAACAAAAGAAGAGAGGGATGGAACAGGGAAGAGAAAGCAAGAGACAGCTGAGAGGAGTATCAGAGCAGGAGCAGGGGCAGACTGGAGGTAAGGGGCTGCTCAGAGCTGGCAGCCAGCGAGCCAAGGACCCAGTCAGGCTGAGACTATCCAGGCCCAGCTCTGACCATCCAGCATCCCTTAGCAAGCATGCCCAGGCTATCTATCTACAACATGTGTTGGGTGCTTAAAAACCATGTGACACAGCAGGGCCATATGAATGATTTGAAATTCACCTCTGTCAGGAGTTACAAAATTTCCTTTCTCTAGCTTATCACAGCACACTGAGCTTTCCCACTTAAGAAACGTGCAGCTGAGCTGTCCTTTATGTGAGAAGACTCTTGCAAGGAGCTGATAATAGGTTGCAGCCAGCCAGTAACGAGTTGCAGCTGCCCAATGAGAAGGAGTGGAAGCAACTTTCCCATCTTAATTCATCCCCTCCCTGTCAGAGGAGCAATGGCAAAAGGGGAGCAGAAACAACCACGGTGGGAAATGAGAGGAGAGCAGACACACCAAGAGGTGAAGGTAGGAATCACCTTCAGTAAGTCCTTGGGGAAGCACTGCAGGTTTTGAGTGCCCACGAAGTGTTTTCTCTGCCTAGCAGATGGGTGCAGGTGCAGCTGTGGGAGTTCCTAGTGCTCTCCTGAGATGGGAAAGGGTGCAGAGAGCACACCTGAGTCCTCCTAATCTGTCTTGCCCAAACCAAGGCTTACGTGGGATTTGGTTTAATGCTTTGTAGCAGGATAAGCTCCAATCCTGATATGGCTCTGTGCTTCATGGGGCCATCACTGCTTGTGAGGGACACCAAGCCAAGGAGATGTTCCTGCGAGAACTGGGGGCTCCATGGCCTGGCACATTGCATGGCTAGGAGTCAGATCCTGGGTCATGGTCTCAGTTCTCTGTCTGGATGGCATAAAGGTGTGCAAGGAAGTCACAGCAGCAGTGGATGTGCAGGCTCGGTTGGAGCTCCAGCCTGGAGTTTGTCAGAGCTCCAGCTGAAAATCTGAGTTGAATAAGCTGTTCAATGTCTCCTCTGCAGTGGGAGCAGAAAAGAAAGGACCTCAGTTCAAGGGAAA